TGTTGCTCCTGCTGCTGCGGCGCATTATGCCACGTCGTCCTAAGCGGGTGCCCAAAGGTATTATTCTCCCCGCCACTGCTCGGCACCGCATCGCTCGTCGCCCCACTCCCGCTCCTCGAATGCGTATTGGTCGTCGTCCTCGCGGCGTCCGAGTGGTTGCCGTTCCCGTCCTCCTCCAGCCGCGCCATCGACGAATTCGCGCGCAGCCGCTGCACAAGCTCAATCGAGCTGTGGCTCGCCACCGCCTGCAGCAGCGACTGCGCGCGCGACCGCACCCCGCCCACGCTCCCCGCGCGCGAGCGCGAGTGCGACGACCCCGAATGGCTCGACTGCGTCCGCGAGTGGTGTCCGCTCCCGCCCCCCGAGTGGGAGTTGGACCGCGAGTTGGACCGCGAATGCGAGTACCCGCGCCGATGCGCGCCCAGGCTCACGTTGCTCGCCCGCGGCGAGAGCAGCCCCACGCGGTCCTCGCGCTCGCCCGCGTGCTCGTGCGACCCCTCCGACTCGAGCGCGGCCTCCTCCCCGTGCCCCTGCGGCAGCAGCTCGTGCTCGGCCAGCGGCGCCCCGGGCTGCGGCCCCGCCCCAAACGCACTCGTCACGCCGCTGTCCATGCGCTCCCGCACGGCGGCGCGCGGGAAGTCCACGGGCAGCGGGATGGACAGGGACGACGCGGACGCCGACCCAGCGGGCACGGGCACCGTCCCCGCGCGACTGCGCCCGCGGCCCTGCTGCGGGTGCCTCGGCGGCGGCGGCATCGCGACCCCTGCCCCCGCGCTGTGATGCCGCCCATTTCCATTCCCGTTCGCACTATGCGCAGGGCTGTCCGCGAGCGAGCTCGCGGTGCGTGCGGAGCTCGGGCTCTGCCCTGAGCTGCTCGACTCGACGTTGCCGGTGCTCTGCGACAGCCGCGAGTGCGCGCCGGTCGAGCCGCGCGTGTTGGTCGAGCCCCGGGTGTTGGTGGAGCGCGTGTTGGCGTTGGTCGAGTGCGTGGCGTGCGAAGACGCGCTCGCGCCCCGCGCGGGGCGGCGGAACTGGAAGGGGTAGCGCGACGTGACGGGCTGCCCCAGGCTCGACAGCGAGCCCGACGCGCGCCCAGAGGACGGCTCCTCGCTGCCAGGGAGCCCTTCCTCTTCCTCCTCCTCCTCCTCCTCCTCCTCCTCGTCCTCCTCCTCCTCATCTTCGTCTTCCTCGAGGTCCTCGTCGTCTTCGTCTTCGTCTTCCTCATCCTCATCCTCCGCCTCCTCCAGACTCCCACTCGTATCGCCCTGCGCCTCCGGCGGCCCAGGCGACGGCGGGAACGGCACCATCACCCGGTCCCGGCTCGACATCTGCGCCCCCGGGCCCGCGAACGGATACCCCACCCCCCCCGGCGGCGACGCCTTTTCCTTTTCGCGCTGCTCCCGTCTCACAACCTGCTATCCCATCCGTCCGTCAGCCCCCCTCATCTTACCGAGATAACAAAGAAACTGACCTTAACGCCCTCCTCCGGCTCCTCAAACAGCTCGCCCGAGAGCACCCCGCGCCGCGCAGGCGGCGGCGCGCTCGGGAACCCAATCGCCGCCATCACCTGCTCCATCCCCTCAAAGCCCGGCGTCGGCGCCGGCGTCGTCCCCGCCAACAGCTCGCTCATGTCCGCCTCTGCGTCCGTCGTCTACACCGCACACGCACATTCAGCTCAATCACCAAGTGGGGGACAAAGAACGCACCTCGCGCTTGCCATGCGCCACATGCGCGCCGGGGTGCCCCGACAGGCAAAACTCCCACGCGCCGCGCACGCGCGCGGCGGTCTCCTCGCGCCACCGCCACGGGAGCGGCTCGTCCGCGGAGAGGTCGTCCGCGTACGCCGCCGTGCTCTTCTCGTGCGCCTCTTCCTCCCAGCGGTGGCGCGGGCCGCAGATGCCGCCGCAGGGCGCGCCGGAGAGCAGCAGGAGGCCGAGCCTGGGGAGGTGCATTAGCGAACGAGCGAACGGACGAATGAGGAAGAAGAAGGGGAAAGTCGTGTCGTCCGCGCATGACCCCCTCCCAAAAAACAAAAACCAAAAACAGAAACCAGCTCACCACGCCCCCAAACACACCACCGCCCGCCACACCGCCCACGCCGCGTTTGCGAGCAGCACCCCGCGCGCGTAGCCCGTCAGCGCGCCGTCCGCGCGGAAGAACGTCGCGTCCCGCGCGCTTGTGCTCGCGAGTCCGTTTACGTTTGCGTTCCCAGCCTAAAAGGGGGCGTTAGTTTTGGTGGTGTAGAAGAGGGGGGGGGGGGGAGCGAAAACCCCTCACCTGCGTCCAAAACCCAATCAGCACCGCGGCCGCGATCCCCGCGCGCGGGAGCAGCAGCGCGACGGTGGGCCCGTTCTGCGCGTAGAGCGCGCAGCTCTCCGCGAGGATGCTGCGCCGCGAGGGCGAGGCGGGCCCGGGCGCGAGGGGGGGGCTGTGGGGGACGTACTTGTGTGAGCACGGCGGACTTGTATGTGAGAGAAAGAAGGGAGGGAAAGAAAGACATACCTCCCCGCGGCGTTGACCGCCGTCGCGCTGCTGTACCCCCGCGCATGCGGGGCGTACGCGCTGCCGGACGAGGCGCGCCGGCCGTGCTCGTGTGTGTCGGGGTTTGTGGTTGCCTAGGAGGAGGAGGAAAAGGAAAAGTCAGCAACTGGTATCCAAGATTCAAGATTCGGGGAAAAGAAAACGAAAAGAAAGAGGGGAGAAGGAAGGGAAGGGAAGGGAAGGGAAGGGAAGGGAAGGGAAGGGAAGGGAAGGGAAGTAGTTAGTGCAAGGGAGCGAAGGGAGGTAGAAGAGAAGGGAAGGCAAACAGCACAACGCGATAATAAATGGACCAGAAACTTGGAGTCTTAGCTGTACGAACGATGAGAAAAGAAAAGTGAATGAATGGGTAGTGTGGTGCAGAAGGTACGTATGTATGTACGAGGGTGGATAGATAGGTAGTACAAAGGAAATGGAAACAAATATCGTAGAAGAGGCCGGAGATAGCAAGCAGCTCGAAAGCAATACGCCGCCACGCGTGTACCGTGGACCCACAAAAAAAAGAAAGCAACTCACCTCCCCCCACGCGCCCCACCTCACATACTGCAAAAAGCAAAACGCCGCATACCCCGTCATGCCCGCGAGCGCATACGCCGGCGCACTCAAATATATCGCCAGCACGCGCGGGCGCTTCGCGCGCCAGCGCCGCGCGAAGCAGTACACGCCCTCGTACACCAGCACCACGGCGAAGAGCCACAGCGCCCAGCACGCGGTGTAGGCGGCCGCGGCGAGGGCCCAGTTGTGCGGGTTGTTGGAGGAGGAGGGATGCAGCGCGATTCTGCGGGGTGTTAGCTGTGTGCTTGTATAGAGAGAAGGGGGACGCACTGGATGAGGACGAAGACGGCGTTGAAGTCGAAGAAGGTCTGGAGCGGGATGTGCGCAAAAACGAGAAGGGGCCAGAGGTAGAAGTAGAGGCGCATCCAGGGGGAGGGGGAGCGCTACAACCACCTTGCAATCAGCATCCACCCACATGAAACGGGGGGCACGAACGAGTAGCTCGAGCCGCAGGCCGCGGGCACGGAAGCGGGGGGTTGCGCGCCGCTCGTCTTCAGCGCTGAGCGCGGCGTTGGCCGAGAAGAGCGGGACGCCCATCCCGCGGGACCACACGCGCGGCGCGGGCGGCTGGTCATGGCCGTGGTTCGTAGCGGCCACGTGCCCGCCCTCCAGACTGACGATCCGCACACTCCTTGGCGTCGCCTTGCGCCCGCCCACGAACGGCGGCGGCGTGCTCGGCACCTCCCCCGTGGGGCTGCTCGGCCCCGGCGCAGCGAGCTCAGAATGGTACGTGCTCGTGGGGGCGGGGTGCAGGGGGCGTTTGGGCAGCCAGGAGGGATATCCCTCCGAGTCCTTGCTCATCCTCCTGTGTGCCGAATCCGAGCTGGAATTGTTGTTGGCGTCCGGGATGTGCTGCAGCTGTTCCAGCAGAGACTCGACGGCAAGGGACGACCCGGGGTCGTTATCTGGGGTTGACATTAGTATCGTTCAAGTGGCGCGTCGGTGTTCGTGGTGGTCGTACGCGACACCTTCTGGGCGCGGTAGCCTCGTGTATGATGGCGGCGGTCTACAAGAGGCACCAGAAATGAAAAAACAACCAACCGTGATTGCTGACAAATCCACTCTATTGCTAGCGCTATCTCCACGCGGCTATCTCAGGGTCCTCCACGTCGACGTCGATGCGGGCTGCCAGTCGGAGGGAGTATACTTGGAGTATACAACAAAAGATGAAAGGAATGTAAGTATTTGAAGGAATGAAGGTTTGAAAAGAGATGCAGAAAGCACCCGCCCGTTGCCAGGCAATTCAATCTACCTCCGCGGATGCTAATCAATAAGCCCCTATTTGCTTCAATTCTGCTCACTACTGCTAATACGGCCTCAGATCTAGATGCCCATAAACAGGTTTATTCTCTGAATTGACGTCACCGTTCCATTCTCCTCCATTCACCGCGCTTCGATGTATATCCGCACCGCGATTCCCAACTTCCATTTCAACCCAAATCCTTCGACTTCCCACCGGGATTTAATTTGCCAACTACGTTGTATGATTCCCGATTCAGCCTCCTGCGCCGCTCGAGATACGTACCGTAGCCCACGTATCCACGACTCACACAAGTCGGACATGGTGTACGGAACACCGCCAGCTTTCTTACGTTTACCAGATCTGGCTGTAGTCGCTGGCAGTCCGGGGTTCGACTCCCCGTGTCCGAATGAAATTCATTTGATATTCTTTTTGGCTTTCCTTCCTTCCTTCCTTCTTTTTTTTGGGGGGGAAGCCCTGACACCGCTCTCTTTTGCCCAATCTCAACTCAAATTCCGCCGCAGCGGTGCACCCTCAGATCAGATTGGTTTGGTTAGATCCGATGATTGCTGTTGTGTCACTTGACCTTCCGAGTCGAGTTTGAACCCAGCCAATCTAACTCAAAACTGCGTTAGCCCGCCCCCATCCTCCGCACAAGGGACAATAGTCGGACATGGTGTACGGAACACCGCCAGCTTTCTTGAAAACATTATATTACGCTGTAGTCGCTGGCAGTCCGGGGTTCGACTCCCCGTGTCCGAATTCATGTGGAATGACTTTCGTTTCCTTTTGTTTTTTGGGTGGGAGGCTCCCAGGTGCCATTATCTTTTGCCCAGCCGGTAGCAGCCGATATCGTTATCTCAATGCCGCTCCGACTTCAGATTGGTTTGGTTAGATCCGATGATTCAACTGGTTGCCGCAGTGGTTGCTTGTGTCACTTGACCTTCGAGTTTGAACCCAGCCAATTGAACTCAAAACTGTGTTAGCTCGCCTCCATCCTCCTCACAAGGAAAAATAATCGGACATGGTGTACGGAACACCTCCAGCTTTCCTGAAGTTGTTCATCAGAACAGTTACTGGCAGTCCGGGGTTCGACTCCCCGTGTCCGAATAGATCGAAATCATTCTTCTTTTTGCCTTTCCTTCTTCTTTCTTTTTGATAATTCAAAGACTGCTGATGCCGTCCCTTTTCTGTCCAGCGGGCAAATAATATTGAATCGAATTCTGCTGCAACCTCAAATTGGTCTGGTTAGATCCGATGATTGCTGTTGTGTCACTTGACCCTGGAGTTTGACCCCAGCCAATTTAACTCGAAACTGCGTTAGCTCGCTTCCATCCTCCTCACAAGGAAAAATAGTCGGACATGGAGTACGGAACACCGCCAGCTTTCTTCAAAACTCTGGACAACAAGTCGCTGGCAGTCCGGGGTTCGACTCCCCGTGTCCGAATGTGGAATTCTTCACTGCTTTTTTATTATTCAAGAACAACCTGACAATCCCTGATATCCTCCATTTTGTGTCTGGGCAGCAGCTAATCACCCCTATTAACTCAATTGAATCGAGTTCTGCTGTAGCCTCGAATCGGTTTGTTCAATACTGGTTGCTGGTTGCTTCATGATCATTAACTAAACCCATCCAACTGCAACCAACAAACCCCACTCAACTATCCTTCTACCTCACAGAAGGTAACATTCGGACATGGTGTATGGAACACCTCCAGCTTTCCGGAAGTCGTCCATCAGAACAGTTACTGGCAGTCCGGGGTTCGACTCCCCGTGTCCAAATAAGGTGATAGCATATTTCTTTTTGCCTTTCCTTCTTCTTTCTTTTTGGTAATTCAAAGACTGCTGATGCTGTTCCTTTTCTGTCCAGCAGGAAAATAATATTGAATCGAATTCTGCTGCAACCTCAGGTTGGTTTTGGTTAGATCCGATGATTCAACTGGTTGCCGCAGTGGTTGTGTTACAGTCATTTGACCTTCGAGTTTGAACCTAGCCAATTCAACTCGAAACTGTTAGCTCGCCTCCATCCTCCTCACAAGGGAAAATAGTCGGGCATGGTGTATGGAACACCACCAGCTTTCTTATGAATCCTAAATCATCGCAGAGTCGCTGGCAGTCTGGGGTTCGACTCCCCGTGTCCAAATACGGAGCTCTTCACACCTTTTTTGATTCAAGACCAACCCAATCCCTGATATCCTCCATCTTTTTCCTGGTCAGCAGCTAATCAACCCTATTAACTCAGTTCTGCTGCACCCTCAAATTGGTATGTTCGATGCTGATTGCTGGTTGCGCATGCTTCATTAACTAAACCCATCCAACTGACCAACAAACCCCACTCAACTATCCTTCTACCTCACAGAAGGTAACATTCGGACATGGTGTATGGAACACCTCCAGCTTTCCTGAAATCGTTCAAGACGGTCACTGGCAGTTCGGGGTTCGACTCCCCGTGTCCGAATATGAGATTCGTCACTGCTTTTTGTTATTCAAGAACAACCCAATCCCTGATGTCCTCCATTTTTTTGCCTGGGCAGCAGCTAATCAACCCTATTAACTCAATTGAATCGAGTTCTGCTGCACCCTCAAATCGGTTTGTTCGACGCTGATTGCGAGTTGCTTCATTAACTAAACCCATCCAACTGACCAACAAACCCCACTCAACTATCCTTCTACCTCACAGAAGGTAACATTCGGACATGGTGTATGGAACACCTCCAGCTTTCCTGAAGTCGTCCATCAGAACAGTTACTGGCAGTCCGGGGTTCGACTCCCCGTGTCCGAATAAGGTGATAGCGTATTTATTTTTGCCTTTCCTTCTTCTTTCTTTTTGGTAATTCAAAGACTGCTGATGCTGTTCCTTTTCTGTCCAGCGGGAAAATACTGTAGAATTTCATTCAATTCGGCGGTCACGCGTCACGCACCCCCTGTGCCGCGATGAATTTTGGTCTCGGTCACGGGTCACGGTGCCCAGTGCCGAATGTAAAATTTGTGACATTGGGGCCAAATCTCTCTTGGAGGTGCAAAAAAGACAGAATTTTCGAAAATTTTCCTCCTGAATGCCGAATTTTTGGAAGTGTCACGCCAAAATTTGTTGGTTGCCGAAGTGCCGAATCGGTATTTTGGGTCACGCGTCACAACCCGTGCCGAATTGAATGAAATTGAACAGTAATATTGAATCGAATTCTGCTGCAACCTCAGGTTGGTTTTGGTTAGATCCGATGATTCAACTGGTTGCCGCAGTGGTTGTGTTACAGTCATTTGACCTTCGAGTTTGAACCTAGCCAATTCAACTCGAAACTGTTAGCTCGCCTCCATCCTCCTCACAAGGGAAAATAGTCGGGCATGGTGTATGGAACACCACCGGCTTTCTTACGAATCCTAAATCATCGCAGAGTCGCTGGCAGTCCGGGGTTCGACTCCCCGTGTCCAAATACGGAGCTCTTCACACCTTTTTTGATTCAAGACCAACCCAATCCCTGATATCCTCCATCTTTTTCCTGGTCAGCAGCTAATCAACCCTATTAACTCAGTTCTGCTGCACCCTCAAATTGGTATGTTCGATGCTGATTGCTGGTTGCGCATGCTTCATTAACTAAACCCATCCAACTGACCAACAAACCCCACTCAACTATCCTTCTACCCATCTCCTCCTTACAGAAGGTAACATTCGGACATGGTGTACGGAACACCTCCAGCTTTCCTGAAATCGTTCAAGACGGTCACTGGCAGTCCGGGGTTCGACTCCCCGTGTCCGAATATGAGATTCATCACTGCTTTTTGTTATTCAAGAACAATTCAATCCCTGATATCCTCCATTTTTTGCCTGGGCAGCAGCTAATCAACCCTATTAACTCAAAAATTGAATTGAGTTCTGCTGCACCCTCAAATCGGTTTGTTCGATGCTGATTGCTGGTTGCTTCTGAATCATTAACTAAACCCATCCAACTGCAACCAACAAACCCAACTCAACTATCCTTCTACCCATCTCCTCCTTACAGAAGGTAACATTCGGACATGGTGTACGGAACACCTCCAGCTTTCCTCAGGTTCTCGTACAGAACAGTTGCTGGCAGTCCGGGGTTCGACTCCCCGTGTCCGAATGGCGATTGGGAATAAATTTGTTTTGGCTTTCCTTCCTTCCTTCTTTTTTTTGGGGGAATCCCTGATACCGCTCTCTTCTGCCCAGCTGGTAACAGCCGATCTCAGCTCGAATTCCACCGCAACGGTGCACCCTCAGATTGGATTGGTTTGGTTAGATCCGATGATTGCTGTTGCGTCACTTGACCTTCGAGTTTGAACCCGGCCAATTTAACTCGAAACTGTCAGCTCACCTCCATCCTCCTCACAAGGAAAAATAGTCGGACATGGTGTACGGAACACCACCAGCTTTCTTAAAATCTCCAGACAATAAGTCGCTGGCAGTCCGGGGTTCGACTCCCCGTGTCCGAATAGCCCCCAATTCTCTTCGGCTTTTTTGGGTGGGATGCCCCCAGGTGCCATTCTCTTTTTCCCAGTGGCAGCAGCCAATGTTATCTCAAATGCTGCTCAACCTCGAATCGGTTTGGCTGTCCAATGATTCCCGTTGTGTCAGTTCACCTTCAAGTTTGAACCCAGCCAATGCAACCTGAAAGTGTCAGCTCACCTACCTCGTTACAACAGACAATAATCGGACGTGGTGTACGGAACATCGCCAGCTTTCTTATGATTTCCATCCCATAACAGAGGTGCTGGCAGTCCGGGGTTCGACTCCCCGTCTCCGAATGATAGGAAAGTGTGTTTCTTTTTGCCTTTCCTTCTTCTTTCTTTTTGGTAATTCAAAGACTCCTGATGCTGTTCGGAACTTCCTTCCTTTTCTGCCCAGCAGTCAACATTGAATCAAGCCCTGCCGCACCCCAGATTACTTTGCTTCAAATGCCAGTACTAGTGACGACTGATTTGGTTTAACCTTCGCATTTGGAACAGCTCAAGATTTTCCCTCGCCTACTTCTACTTCAGAGTCCTCTTACAAGACAAAACAATTGGGCATGGTGTACGGAACACCTCCAGCTGTCTTTAGAATTTACAGACGTAGAAGAGTCGCTGGCAGTCCAGGGTTCGACTCCCTGTGTCCGAATTCATAGGATCCCTTCTGTCTTTTTTTTGGGGGGAGGGATCCCTGATGCCATTCTCTTTTGCACAATGGCAGCAGCCGACGCGTTATCTCAAATGTTGCTCTAACCCTTAGATTGGTTTGGTTAGATCTGATGATTCAACTGATTGCCGCAGTAGTTGCTTGTGTCACTTGACCTTCGGGTTTGAACCCAGCCAACGAGTAGTACCCAAGTTCGTTACTTCGCTTAGGAATGAGAAAGTTTGTGAGTTTGATGGAAAACGGTGAAAGCTCGTCATTTCGACAGAAAACTGAGAAAGCTCGTCACCTCGACTAAATTTTTGGGAAAGCTTGTTACTTCCGGGTGCGTGTGTGGGAAGTGCATTGCTTGATTACCGGAAGTATGGAATGACACGAACAGAATCCTGTTCTCTCTTCCGACCACCATCATCCCCAACCTCGACACCGCCGATGCCGCCGACGTTGTGCACCAGATTATGTGGGGACGGGAATGCCCCAAGCATCAGCGATCGGGACCGGAGGTATGTCGCAGTTTCGCCCTTCAAGTCGCATTACTGACTGGTGATGGATCCAATGAGCTAGGAAATAGCACTCACTCTTCAACCCTCCACCGAACACCCACCAGTTGCCGATGCATATGGCCGCCATTGCACAGCGGAAAAGACTATACAACAGTGTTTTTTTGAGCAGGCATAGAGCAGCAGGTGTGTCAATGTCGATTTCACCTCTACTGTCATGTTCCCGCCTCCGCAGTGAACGTGCCGAGTGCGACTATCCAATTCCAGCCGCCACGAATAATCACCACTGCCATGCTCGCGCGTACACATGCCGCAAGTCCCTTCTCGCACGCACCTCAGCGTGTTTGGCAGGTGAGTTGAATCCTGGGGAATCCGCCCTCCAGTGCACACCATATCGGCGGGAAAGCTTACCCTAACGGCATTATTTCCCGACTTGGAAGGGGGAGAAATGTTTCCCGCTTCTCTCAGGATATAAGCCGACGAGAAAGCGGACACCGGTGGCGGTCTTTACATCAAGGCTCTTTAAATAGTAATCTTTCAATTCTGTTCGATAGTAAGTAGTAAGTTTGGATTGCCATTTCTTTCAAAACAAGAAGAGCTTTGAATGATTCAAGGGGATTCAGCGCTTGAGTGACATGTACAGCTGCCAGTGAGAGCGTGCGATGAACTTTGGCAATATGATGTGCATACGCGAGAGTGTCGCATCTCGCTTGGCCTGCTCCAGACTGGAAGAATTTTGGTGACTGTGTTGTGCTGAGATTTTTTATCTTAGCCCCTTTATCTTGGCGCGACCCACACCAGCCAGCAGTTTCTTTGACGAAAATAACAATTACCTGTAGTGGAACAGGTCCACATCCAATACACCAGCCCCCCTTGTCCCTGATATTCCTTTCACATTTGACTTCACGACAGGGTTAATGAACAAGCTACCGTTTTCTGACAGATTTTCGGATGCTTCTTCTGAATTTTGATTGTCCGTGTGCGCCGACAGTGTGCACCACGCCCGCGACTGACCGTGCACTCTCCACGTGGATGGACGCGGTCATGTGACGATCGACAGTAGCCGAAGTAGCGAGCTTTCACACTGTACAGAGGAAGTTACGAAGTTCTACTAGGTTCTACTACATCCAGCTGAAGTCACAAACTTTCACAGGAAGCAATCAAACTCACGCATTTCCGCGATGCTAAGTGATGCTAAGCGAAGTTAAGCGAAGTAACGAAGTGACGAAGATGGCGCGGACTCCAGCCAATTTAACTCGAAGCTGTTAGCTCGCCTCCATCCTCCTCACAGGGGAAAATAGTCGGATGTGGTGTACGACTTTTTTGGGTGAAAGGCTCCCAGGTGTCATAATCTTTTGCCCAATGGCAGCAGCCGATGTTGTCTCAAATGCTGCTCCAACCTCAGATTGGTTTGGTTAGATCCGATGATTGCTGGTTGCTGCAGTGGTTGTGTTACAGTCACTTGACCTTCGAGTTTGAACCAAGCCAATTCAACTTGAAACTGTTAGTTCGCCTCCATCCTCCTCACAAGGGAAAATATTCGGGCATGGTGTACGGAACACCGCCGGCTTTCTTGGAATCTCGAAACAGCGAGTCACTGGCAGTCCGGGGTTCGACTCCCCGTGTCCGAATAGCGAACTCTGCACTGCTTTTTTGTTATTCAAGAACAACCCGATCCCTGATGTCCTCCATTTTTCTGCCTGGACAGCACCCCAAGCAGCACCCTATTAACTCAACTGAACTGAGCTTTGCTGCACCCTCAAATCGATTTGTTCAATGCTGATTGCTGGTTGCTTCATTAACTAAACCCATCCAACCGACCAACAAACCCCACTCAACTATCCTTCTACCCATCTCCTCCTTACAGAAGGTAATACCCGGACATGGTGTACGGAAAACCTCCAGCTTTCCTCAAGTTCTCGTACAGAACAGTCACTGGCAGTCCGGGGCTCGACTCCCCGTGTCCGAATCATGATGTGTGACAACAAATACATTCTTTTTGGCTCTCCTTCCTTCCTTAAAATCCATTCTTTTTGGCTTTCCTTCCTTCCTTCTTTTTTTTTGGGGGGGAATCCCTGATACCGCTCTCTTTTGCCCAATCTCAACTCGAATTCTGCCGCTACGGTGCACCCTCGGATCAGATTGGTTTGGTTAGATCCAATGATTGCTGTTGTGTCACTTGACCTTCGAGTTTGAACCCAGCCAATTTAACTCAAAAGTGCGTTACTCGCCTCCATCTTCCTCACAAGGGAGAAAATAGTCGGGTGTTGTGTACGGAACACCACCAGCTTTCTTAAGATCTGGGAACAACTAAAGAGTCGCTGGCAGTCCGGGGTTCGACTCCCCGTGTCCGAATCGTCGGTTGAGATAAAAAATCCATTCTTTTTGGCTTTCCTTCCTTCCTTCTTTTTTTTTTGGGGGGAATACCTAATACCGCTCTCTTTTGCCCAATCTCAAATCAAATTCCGCCGCAACAGTGCAACCTCAGATCAGATTGGTTTGGTTAGATCCGATGATTGCTGTTGTGTCACTTGACCCTCGAGTTTGAACCCAGTGAATTTAACTCAAAAGTGTGTTAGCTCGCCTCCATCCTCCTTACAAGGGACAATAGTCGGGTGTTGTGTATGGAACACCGCCAGCTTTCTTCAAACCTCTGGGCAACAAGTCGCTGGCAGTCCGGGGTTCAACTCCCCGTGTCCAAATGATGGAATAACCGTGTTTCTTTTTGCCTTTCCTTCTTCTTTCTTTTTGGTAATTCAAAGACTGTTGATGCTTTTCCTTTTCTGTCCAGTGGGCAAATAATATTGAATCGAATTCTGCCGCAACCTCAGATTGGTTTGGTTAGATTTGATGATTCAACTGGTTGTTGCAGTTGCAGTGGTTGCTTGCGTCACTTGACCTTCGAGTTTGAACCCAGCCAATTCAACTCGAAACCGTTAGATCGCCTCCATCCTCCTCACGAGGGACAATAGTCGGACATGGTGTACGGAACGCCGCCAGCTTTCTTATGTATTCTAAGTGAGAGTTGCCAGCAGTCCGGGGTTCAACTCCCCGTGTCTGAATAGCGAACTCTGCACTGCTTTTTTTGTTATTCAAGAACAACCCAATCCCTGATATCCTCCATTTTTGGCCTGGGAAGCAGCTAATCACCCCTGTTAACTCAAATTGTGCTGCACCCTCAAATTGGTTTGTTCGACACTGATTGCTGGTTGCTTCATTAACTAAACCCATCCAACTGCAACCAACAAACCCCACTCAACTATCATCTCCTCTGCTCTGCACAATAGATACCGTCTTCCAACGAATGTCAAGCCTTTGCATTATGATGTGACCTTCTGGACCGATCTGGAATCATAGGAATTCAGCGGTGACAGACCTGGTATTGGGGCACCCGGGCATTTATTCAAATCTGCTCGAGTTGCAACATACTATAATGTACTTCACTACATTACGACATCATCTCACAAGGGCTAATGCTGGCCTGAGCAGTTAGCTAAGAGGGATATAATGTGTCTCGAACCATTAGAAGGGCACTGGACAACAATCCTGGTAAAGGGTTGGAGTGGGAAGTCGCTAATGGAGCAATCACGGAAAGTGCCTTACCATCCTGGAAACGGATTGGGGCTACTGCACATCCCTGACTAAGGGCGTATTACGAGGGAACATCCTTCTGAACCAGAGGGATCATTGTTGGGCATCATCTGACGTCTCCAGAACTGCCAAGAGAGGACTGGACTTGGTCGATCTACCAATTGACTAAGAAACTGTACTCGGGTACTAGGAAGCGGCGGCTATCACGATTTTCAGACAAATCACTTAAGTGGTTCAAGGCGGAACCATTTGAGCGTACGGTTACCAAGGAGGGTAGCGGAGTGCTGATGAGGAGGTCGGCTAAAAGTTGACATATCAACAATATTCCATCACGATCGTTCTAAGCGATGTAGATCTTGACTCATCGCTAAGCTCGGCTCGTTGATGTTTCTTATAAATCTCTCTCAATTTTACTAATCGCTTGATATCTGACAGGAGTTCATCGGCTAGCTGCCATACCACTAGTCATATACCCTGAACCCTATTGCTCGTTTGTATCAGTCTCGTTTATATTTAGAATCCTGTAACGTATTTAAGTGGATGGTTATGGGAGGAACACCAGTGAATCTCACCCCACCTGTTGGACGCGAAGTTACTAGACTTCACGCTTAACCGGTAGAGTAGTCATTCATTCGGAGACACCCAGAAGCTATACCAAGTTTCATTTGTTTTCCCTGTTTGAATATTATCTGTGTTGGATTTGGATCTTTATAAACAACGCGTGAACATATTGGATAAACGGAACGGACGCGTGGATTATAAGGAAACGGATCAGACTTGACAATTGGTTGTAATCTCGCAAGGATTAGCAATCGCGGATACTATTTGGAATCGGAATTCATAAGAATCACTTGCTTTACGCATCGGAGTATTATCTCCAAACCTAGACCCACATCATACAAAACCGTTGAACATAAAATCTCGTCTGTCTATCGCGATTGCGCCTAGAACAGATTCGAGCAAGTTTATCTATACGACTTGTAGACCTGTAAAGTCTTGCTTCTCAAAGAGAACTAAAGTTCAAATTGCCACAATCTATACTGGATTGGAACCCCGAACTTGCACGAGGACTATAGTGTTTGAGTTGTTGTAGTTGCATTATCGAACCGCGTATTCATTTACAAGGTTTGTGTTGTGGTTATTTCACCGCCAGCCCCATAGTCAGCGTTTCAGCGGTCTCATCGCTGTAGAGTGAGCTTCGCTGCGTGTTGAACTGGTAGTATCCTGTTGAATCCTGCTTGATGGCAGCTTGGACATTCTGGAAGATACTTCTGTAATCGTTCTCAATTGCACTAATGACCTCAAACTGGGAGAGGCGTGAGTCTCCAATAGGTAGGAGTCTGCAGAGCACCCTGCGAATGACAGAAAATTCTGCTCTGTTTAGTGCGCTGCTCTGGAGGGTGACCAGTTGCAGTTGGCACAGATTGTTGTGGACAAGGAACTGGGGTGTGCAACCTTGAATTTCATTGTCCCTGTTTCTGCCGGATCTAAGGCATAGGTAAAAATTGCCTATAGCAGCACTCTATGTGGAACCATGAACAAGTACTACAAATCAGCATGGCAGAGAAACGGCAAAACCGAATACTACGCCTTGACGCAGTTTCAGATAGCTATTTCGTATTCAGACAAGTGAAATCGCTAGAAGTATATTCACAGCCCACTGATGCCTGAGCGGCCATGCCCTGCTGGGACGAGCCTCAGTTGAAGGCAATGTGGTCAATCACCATGATTTCTTGGGTGGAGACAGTCAATATCAGCAACATGGCGGCTGAGTCCGAGGTAGCATGTTTGTACCCCAAGTTGGAAGCAGGTCTCACCACTTTGTTGTCCACTCTACCCAAGAAGGATGCCAAGTGGAAAATTACAAAGTTCCAGGAAACACCACCAATATTCCAACTTCGGGTTACATGTTCTTCATGGGAGGCGCCCCGGTCTGCTGGTTGTCGAAGCAGCAGGCTGTTGTGGCTCTATCATCGACCAAAGCTGACTATATTTCATTGGCACGTGGTGCACAACAGTCAATGTGGATGAAAAACTGGCTAGCAGGTGTATTCCTTCCTCAGGAGCTTCCATTCGGTCTCCACGGCGACAACCTCGGTTCCATCAGCCTCACGGAGACGATGAAAGGCCATGGTCTTTCCAAGCACATCGACACACGCTGGCATTTCATCTGCGAACGTGTCCAGGACGGTGAGATTGCGGTGTCCTCTGTTCCTGGGAAGGAAAATGTCGCTGATATTCTTATGAAAGCCCTCGCGCGTCCCACTCACAAGAAGCTCATTTCCATGCTGGGGCTGGATTGGAAACAGAAGAGTGCTGTCCACCAGGGGGAGTGTTGACGAGAGGTATTACCTTTCATGGACGTTGGCATCCAGTTCCGTTTACGGACTCATAACTATTTTATTTTATTTATTCGTTTCATTCTCAATCATAGCCGCACCCTATAAGAGTGCGGCTCCCTAACAACGGCCCTCAGTCTTTACCACATCCGTGTGCGACTGAGGGTACGTTCCCTTACCTATATTGTTATGACATGGACACTTACCTCACCTGTAGACATATTCTTACGGTGTATTTCTCTACAAGATGTAGAAGAAGAAGAAAAACTGAACCTGTATGATAGACACATGGGACTGTGTCAGCACTCTTCGGTATTCATGATAATTCTTCATCATGATGCTGCCTTGTCCGCCAAGTCAGGATCCCGTCAACCCTTTGAGCTGTGTGTCTATAAACTTCGGTTTAAGAAGACCTTGGACAGCGGTTTCGGTGTATTGAAAGTTGGACAGTGTATTCCATGGAGCATATGGGTGAACCACATCAATCAGGTTCTCAAGTCATTTATTTTCAGCGGGATCGACTTCTCGACAGATCGGATGGCAGAGTGAAATAATATTGGCTGATGTGAGTGAGTCTTTAGGATGCGGCACACTGAGGATGTAAATGGCGGGTAGCTGCGGATTGTCCACGGGAGCATCTGTGAAAGTCTGAATGCAACTGTTGAAGAGAATGTATTTTGTATAAACTGTCCAGCACTGTG